CCCACGCGGCCCCACGGTGGAGATGTCCGTTGAGCTTGCGCTCCGCCGCTCTCGAGAGGAGGCCTGTGCGAGGCAACGCTCAGACTCCTTCCATCGGGAATCCATTGTGTCCGCACAAATGGTGCATGGATCCGGCGCTAGGCCAGCCGTAGCTGCCTCGCCGGAGGCTGTGTGGTCCATCTGGCGTCTGAACGCCCTGGTGGACACGCAATCCCTCCGTTGGCGCGCGGAGCATGGTGATGCACCATGGGCCTCGTCTGACGAGTCCATGGCACAGCGTGCCCACCGTGCAAGGCAGCAGGCGCGGGAGACGGTGGCAACCCTTGCGACGGTGGCCGTCGGCGGGGCGGAGTCGCATTCTCCGGCGCCCCGTATGGCCCATCAGTCGGGGCACCGCAACCGCGTTGTGGTGGACGTCCGCGGCTCATCCCAGGACAAATTCGTCATCGACCTGACGTCCACTGGCATCGTTCGGGTTTCGGGCTCTGATGAGGAAGAGTAGGGCATGGGAGATGGCGGCGCCTCGAGTCCCGTGAGCCGGCTCGTGTCCCATGCCCTACTCTACCTTGTCGGCGACCGGCCCAACACTCTGAGGAGCGCAACCAGCCGCCAGACATGGCCACGGCGGAGACGGGCGAGCGGGAAACGGAACCGGGCGACCTCCGCCTAGATTAGGTTTCACGTTGCATGTAATAATATGGATTTGAGGCGCTTAGATTAGGTTTCACGTTGCATGTAATAATATGGATTTGAGGTTTCTAATTTGAGGTATCCGGATTTGAAATGCATTTTTTAAGGCGTGTCTGGACGCGTCTGCGGGCATTTGAGGGGTCGAATTTATCAAATCCGAATGTATATGCTCTAAAAAGATTTATATTTAAAAACAGAAAGAGTATAACAGTTTCAGTAAAGAAAATCAAGCACACCACCCAAGTACCCTGAAGAGATTCGTGTTCTCTTGGTAATGCCGTGGAAGAGCATACCTGAGGTATCGGGTTGGAAGGCCTGACCCAGCTATTTTTACAGTCGATTTCTTTTTTCATCTTCGTCACCAAAGTTAATAGGTCCGTTTACCTGTAGGCAGACATAGAAAATGGTTGGTAGGGCTGGTTATCGCGCTTGTGTGTTCGGCACAAGGTCCCAAGTTCGAATCTCTCAGCTCGAAGTAACACGCAATTAACGGTGCGCCGTCAGATTTAACAGAATTCTAAGTTGTTCGACTACTTTTTGGGGTTTTTAAATTCTTGTATGATTTTGTTCCCACCGCTACAAGTTGAGTGGACTAAAGCGTAAGTTGTTCGACTACTTTTTGGGGTTTTTAAATTCTTGTATGATTTTGTTCCCACCGCTACAAGTTGAGTGGACTAAAGCGGCGAATTGCTAATCCGTTGTATAATTTTTTTGGTACCGAAGGTTCGATCCCTCTCTTTTCGCTCCTTTGGATCATTTGGGACTTTCGAATTGGAAAGAATTTTAACCCCCGTATTTTCTCATACGTAAATGTACGAAACAAATTCAATAAAAAAACTGAATTTTTACTCCTCGCGTCCAGGATTTCGTCCTGGGTCATTAGATAAGAATCCAAAGATAAAGAGTGAAATAAAAAATATCACTACTGTATAAACAAAAAGCGCCGTCAGATTTAACCGAATTCTAAGTTGTTGGACTACTTTTATGGGGTTTTTAAATTCTTGTATGATTTTGTTCCCACCGCTACAAGTTGAGTGGACTAAAGCGTAAGTTGTTCGACTACTTTTTGGGGTTTTTAAATTCTTGTATGATTTTGTTCCCACCGCTACAAGTTGAGTGGACTAAAGCGGCGAATTGCTAATCCGTTGTATAATTTTTTTGGTACCGAAGGTTCGATCCCTCTCTTTTCGCTCCTTTGGATCATTTGGGACTTTCGAATTGGAAAGAATTTTAACCCCCGGATTTTCTCATACATAAATGTACGAAACAAATTCAATAAAAAAAACTGAATTTTTACTCCTCGCGTCCAGGATTTCGTCCTGGGTCATTAGATAAGAATCCAAAGATAAAGAGTGAAATAAAAAATATCACTACTGTATAAACAAAAAGCGCCGTCAGATTTAACCGAATTCTAAGTTGTTGGACTACTTTTATGGGGTTTTTAAATTCTTGTATGATTTTGTTCCCACCACTGCAAGTTTATGTACTAATAGTGGTATTAACTCTAAAAAAACAAGGTACATCTACGATGCTTTTTGCTTTCGCCTGTGTTTGGTCTGACTCCATTCGAAGCATCGTAGGTCATCCTGCATGCGGTTGGGGCCCGCCATGTGAAGCCAAACCAGGCAAAATTTCCATTCCGTTTCGTATCGGTTGGATTGGTCAGATGTTGTCAGAGACGTTGATTCCTCTTCAATGTAAAAGCCTCCCAGATTTGAATACAACACTGTATAAGCGTGGTTATACTTGCAATTTGAATTTCTTAACCAAACCGATGGTATAAATACTCTCTGAAAAATAAATACTCTGGAAAATTATGAAATTACTTTGATGGCTCTAGGGCCGATTGTCTTTGCTCTTCTAAACTTGTCAATGGTGTGTCACCGTGTGCAGCTGAAAATCCATGATCGTGTTAGTTTTTGCGAGAAGAAGCCATCACAGACGAAAGAGCTGCATAACGAAGAGCTAAACCTTATTATTTGTAACAGGCCCATGAGAAAGCCAGAGCTGCACCTATGTGACAAAGATGAGGCCAAAGGGCCAAATAACAAAGGAACCTACCATTGGCGCGCCAAAAACATGCAACCTATAACCTCACAGACAGACCGCAGGAAAATACACCATCGATCCATAAACACCGCCACAGATTGCATCGTAACATGAAGCCATCGCGAAGAGAGAACCCAGGAAACCGTATTCGATGGATCGACACCACAACCACCGTCAGCTAGGCGTTGCTAGAGAAGACTTTATTGTTCGGCGCCACCACCAGCGCCCCGAGTGCCGAAGAAACAAACAACTAAAATCTACCTTAATGCACCAAATTAGACAAAGCTACAACTCCATCGAATAGATCAGGGCATTCCCACACTCTCACGCCAACATAACCGGTGGAGGAGGACGGAAGAGAGGTTTATTCAGGTCGCCCTGATCTATTCGATGGAGTTGTAGCTTTGTCTCCAATGATTACACACGTACGCCGGAAGAGGGGTGACGGTGTAGTGCGCTAAAAAAGACATCCATAGGCACTAGCAGTCAGGACATATTTTTATAGAAGAAGCACACCCTTGTGAGGAATCAGAAATTCCCTCCCAATGGGATTCGAAATCATTTCTTGGAGATAAACGTTATGGTGACAAGAAAAATGATAATATCGGTTCGCTTGTGGATGTATAGCATTGGAGACAATAGTTCTTGGTGGTTAAATGAGCTAATTAAACGTCTTGCCCTGTGATTATTCGGGTCCATCCCATGGGATTGATCCATTGTGCTTTATCACCGTCACCTGAAAAGAAAAAGAAAAGTGAACAGAGAAACGGGCAGATTCCCTACGTACGTGGGTAGACCGACGCTCTCTCTCTCTCTCTCTCTCTCTCTCTCTCTCTCTCTCTCTCTGGACTTAGCTGGGGCCACCAGTCAGCGTAGAAGTAACAAAGAGCGAGTGGAGGCAGCTCTTCTGCTTTTTGCATCGCTGCGCAGAGCCAGCCAGCCAGCCAGCCAGCCGAGTAGTACGTACGTGACCCTCACCTGACCAAACCCCTCCACCTCCCTCCATTTCTTCTTCCCCAACCTAAACCCCCTCCTTCTTTCTCCCCTGCCGCAGCAGGAAGACGACGTACGTGTTCTTCCCCCCCTTTTGCACTTGTTCTTGCAGTTGTTCCAGATCTGGCCCATCGGAGGCCGATTTTCTCTTCCTTCCTTGCTGCAAGAGCTTTCTTGCACTTGTCGCGGTTCCTTAATTTGGTCGTCGGATCTGTACGTGCTCTGTTTGCAGGACCCTACAAGGTTTTTCTTGAGTTTCTTGCGGCTCTTCTTCGCAGATGGGCTCCGCTTCCTCGTGTGGCGAGTTTGTTTGCCGTTGTTCTTCGCTGATCGGCTCGTACGGGTGCTTTCGGAGGCCGATTCTGTAGATCCTTTGCTTCAATCGATTTTGTGTCTGCAACTTGTGCCTTCTGTCCTCTCTTGTTGGATCATCTGCGTTTCCTCTTGTTGATCCTCTTCTTGTTTTTCTCGA